ATTCCCAGTGTTCTACCAATGATATAGAAATTCTTGTTAGTAAAGAGGAAATTCTCAGTCTGCTGCGTCCTCCAAATCAGACATGATAGTCCTGATAGCCTAAGGTTAAAAAAAAATCCTTCCAGGTCTCTTTGTACAACATAAAAAAATAAAAAAGGGCAGATTACTTTGAGATGCCTCTGTGGCTCCAGGGTTGCCAACTGTCACAATTTTATCACAAATGTCATGACAGTTGGTGTTTTTCTTAAAATGCAGCTCAGCGAGATTATACTTACATTAAAGTATTGGGTTTTATTGAAAAAGAATAGTTTCTAGCTGTTATGTTGGCTGAAAAAATGTTAAAAATGTAAAATAATAGAACCTCAAAACCCAGAAGGCAAATACAAATCCCATGTGTGTGCATATACAAATTTAATCTCATTTTTTGTGGGGAGAGGGGGCAGTGAGGGATGGCAATGCATGGAGCCTCCTGGGCCACATGTGAGCATTTCCTAGTGAGCATTTCCTGAGAGCTGCAATAAGCTCCTCTGGGACTCCACAACCCCCAACTCCAAGCTGCATCCTATACCACAATCTCCCATCCCCAGCTGCACCTCAACCTGCACCCCCACCAGAGCCCTGACCTTCCTGCTTGCATTCCTGTAGGCCAAGAGCCTCTACCCACGGCATCCCAACCTCTGCCCCAATCTGGTGAAAGTCAAGATGGTGTAGAGTGAGCAACAGAGGGAAGATGGAGTGAGAGGGGGCAGGGCCTTGTGGAAAGGGCAAAGCAGGGGTTCTCAGTTTTGTGCTATTAGAAAGTTGGCAACCCTATACCTGTATAACTCAGGCCATAGAATTTCCTCAGAAGAATTCCAATAGCGCAGCTTTTATAAAAAAATCCGATCTGGATTTCAAAATTCTCAGGGATGACAAAACCACCGGAACCCTTGGTAAATTGTTCCAGTGGTTTACTTTCACTTTTAAAAATGTATGATGCCTTATTTTCGGTCTGAATTTGTCTGCTTTCAACTTCTAGCCCTTGGATCATGTTATACTTTTCTCTCCAGATAAGAGCCCATTATTAAATATTTGTTCCCCAAGTAGTACACTGACCATCCATCCTGAATTTCCTGGGACAGTCCTGATTTTTAATGTCCTGTCCTGGTGCCCCATGAAGCACTGAAATGTCCTGGAAAGTCCCCAGGCTCCAAACGCAGCTAGAAGTGGCTGTGCAGCTGATTCTCCTCCTCCTCCCCCGGTCAGGGGAATGTAGGCATCAGGGATACTTCCCAGGCTTTCCCTGCAGCTGGAGAATCCAGCCAATAGTAGCATCAGGAGGCATTGCCAAATGGGAGCACGCAAAAGCAAGTAAGTGGCTAGGGGCTGGGAGGAGGGTGGACAAGCGGCATGCTACTCAGAAGGGCTGGTGTGGGCTCAGGGAACCGACACGCAGCTCAGTTGGGCTTTGGGGGAAAGGAGGAGCCAGGAAGCCCAGTATGGGGGGTGGCAGCAAGGGGCCTGAAATGACCTCCCCATATCTGGTCCAACCCCTACCCCAAGTCTGCTCCTGCATCCTCCCTCTTGGCCAGACAACTTATCCGCGGTCTGCTCCTGTATTCTCCTTCCTGGCCAGAGTCTGCACCCTCCCTTTTGGCCAGACACCTAACCCCAGTCTGCTCCTGCCAGGTACCCTACCACCTAGTCTAGTCCTGCATCCACCATTGCTCCTGCACACTTCCTTGTGACCACACACTGCACCCTCTTTTTCTTTTGCTCCCTCCTCCTGGCCAGACACCCTACTCCTAGTCAGCTTCTGCCTCCTACCTTCTTCCAACATCCTGCACCCCATCCCACTCACTGACAGCCCTATCACACACTGAACCCCTCATTTTTGTCCCCACCCCAGAACCTAAGGTGGCTCCATAAAAGCCACCAGAAAAGTAAATCTGACTTATGGGAAGACCTGAACCTCAGTCCTCCCTGTTCCTTCCCCTCACCTCTTCGGGCTGGACTGCCAGAGGAGTGAGGTGTCTCAGTGAGGGTTGGGGGTTTTGGGAGGTGTTCTTTTGCTCCTCATTTGTGTGGTCCCCAATTTATTTTTCTGTGGATCAATGGCCCCTGACCCAAAAAAGGTTCCCCAACCCTGCCATAAATAAAGAAAACATTGAAGTCTCTTGTGTTTGACATAAGTTAATATTTTATTGTATTTAAAATTAAGTTTGATAAACTAAGCATTTTAATCTTTTTAATAATTTAAATTAATTCATTCTTTCTAGCTGCAGCACTAGAAAAATGCCTCAGGTGTAATTAAGTACTTAACTGTGAGTTTCCATTAGCAGCTGGTTGTCTGCAGAAAGGTTTGCATTGAGCCAGGTGATCCACAGGCTAAAAAGTTTGAGAATCACTGAAAAAGAGGTGCTCATGGCCTCTCCCCCCTGAGAGACTGCCTCAGGCTCCCTGTTGCTCCAGAAGTGCCCACAGAGAGATTGGGTCTGTTACCATGGTGGTGAAATCACCATGTCACTCCAGTGTGGATGGACAGACTTTTTGTGAGACTTCCTCACTCAAGCAGTTGATGATTTAAACGTGTTAACATACTATGTGAAAACACTTTGGCTATGTCTACACTGCAGGCTTCTTGTACAAAAACTTGTGGAGCATCTACACTGCACGTGCGTTCTTAGCAAGTAAATTAACAGTAAGGTGTCGGAACAGATGGCTTCTTGCATAAGAGTTAGTCCTCTCCCCATGAGGAATAAGCTCTCTTGCACAAGAGCTCTTGAGCAAGAAGGCAGTGTGGACGGAAAACAGGCAGTGTGACTAAAATGGCCATCAGAGCTTTCTTGTGCAAGAGACCGTCCACACTGCCATGGACGTTCTTCGGCAAAAAAGCACATATTTTGCGTAAAAGCACATGGCAGTGTGGACATGCTCTTGCGCAAGAACTCTTGTGCAAAACAGTTCTTGTGCAAGAAGCCTGCAGTGTAGACAGGGGTGGCCCGTGCCTATAGGCAAACTTGGCAGCCACCTAGGGCGCCACGTTAAATGGGGCACCAAATTCCCTGCCACTTCCTCTTCCTGTAACGCCTCACTTTGGCCCCGGAGGAGGAGCGCGGTGGCTTCCCTGCCCCGAAGGAGGGGTGAGTCGGCCCTGGAGGAGGAGCAGGGGGAATTGGCCCCGGGGGAGGTGGTGCGCGGGAGGGGGGATCGGCCCCAGGGGAGGAAGCGCACAGGGATTTCCCTGCGCCATGGGAGGAGAGGGGTCAGCCCCGGGGGAGGCACACGCTGGCTTCCCCGTGTTGTGGGAGGCAGGGGCAATTCCAGGGGCGGTGGCACATGGGGGCTCCCTGCGCCGTGGGAGGAGATGCATGGGGGTTTCCCCGCACTGCGGGAGAGAGGGGATGGGCCTCTGGGGAGGCAGCACGTGGGGGTGTTCCCTGTGCTGCAGGAGGAGCAGGTCGGCCCCAGGGGAGGAGGTGCCCGGGGGGGTTTCCCTGCGCCGTGGGGGGGAGGGAGAGTAGCCCTGGGAGAGGCACGTGCCGGCTTCCCTCGGGGGGGGGGGGAGGGAGGGGGGGAGAAGCCCGGCTGGCAACCCGTCTGCAGCGGGAACCCGGGCTGCCCCCCCGTCTGCAGCAGGCCCTCTGTGGAGCTGGAGCAGCCTCCTTTTTGCAGCAGGTGGGGAGCTGTTCCAGTCCCCTCTGATTACCAGTTAACTGGTAAGCATTATCCATTAAGAGGACTATGGAAGCTGTCCCATGAAATTGTGGGATAGTTCTAACTGATTCCCAGGCCATGGGTCAAATGAGGCTTCATCTACACTGCCAAGTAATAGGTCTCTGATCCTGGATCTCATATTGAATGGAGGTTGAACCTTTAACACTTCAGTGTCATGGGACCCTAGGTCTGGACCCTGGGTTAATGGAATTACATGGGGGAGGCTCGTACGGGTCCAAACCCATTCCTAGTGGTAGGGGATGGTGGGAGGAGTTCTTAGATGGGTCACATGATACCTTACTTCTGGTCATGTGTTCACCTTGATCCTAAAAGTACTACCCCAGGGGGTGGGACTTCCTGTGGTAGGCAGACAAGGCTTAAGAGGAGTGATTAATGTCTCTTTTTGGTTCAGAAAACATGGTCTCCTACCACGTAGGCATTTAGACTGTAATCAAGTCACCACCTAACATTCTCTTCGCTAAACTAAATAGATTGTTCCTTGAGTCTGTCACTGGAAAGCACATTTTCTAATCCGTTAATCATTCTCTGACTCTTCTCTGCACCCTAATTTATCAACATCCCTCTTCACCTGTGGACACCAGACCTGGTCACACGATTCCAACAGTGGCCACACCAGGGCCAAATCCAGAGGTAAAATAACCTCTTGGCTTCAACCTGGGACTCCCGTTCCAGGGTTACAGTGGTAACGCCCTGCAACTCTATGGCTCCCGCTGCACAGTCTGTAGCTAGAACCCTCCGCATTCCACGGCTCCTCTTTGCAGCTGCAGACAGAGGTTTTGTATCCGCGCAGGGCTCTTCGCATTAGCCCCTTTGCCTACCTCGGGGAACTCAGGTCCAGCTGCTTCTCCACCACCAGTGCCAGGCCTCTGCCCGGGCCACTGTCCCCAGGCCGGACCCAGGGCTGGGGCTGCCTGTTTGAAGCGCACCACTAGCCCGTGAGCGGCACGGAGAGCCCCGCCCCCAGCACGGGGGGGGGTGAGGACAGTGACGCGGGGTTCTTG